AATATTTTATTTCTAAATATCACTTTCATAGGTGAACGACCAAAAAAAATCCCTGTAGAAGTTTTGAGATAACATTCTTCTTTTAGCTAGTTTTACATGGAATGTTTTAGTATAATTTCAGTATCTAAGACCAACATCCTATGCAATGTGAGTCAACAGAAAACACATCTGAACCAAACATACTATATTCATGCCTTTTAAGATTCTTTAATTTAAAAAAGAGAGCATATCCTCACCTAAGCTTGTAGCTGTAGAAGAAATGATGCAAAACTGAAAAAGGTCAGGAGGGAAACAAGCAGATACCTGTCTTCTCAGGAGTCACAGTGGTCTTCCATAGGTAGAGGGTTACAATAAATTTTAAAGACTGAGCTACTGACAACCTGCAGAACTTATTTGAAGTTTCTAAGGCTAACCTGCAGAACTTATTTGAAGTTTCTAAGGCTACCTCCTTGATGTTTAGGAGGTGTATTACAGTGTTGGGTTTTTTTGTTTTTTGTTTTTTTTTTTGAGACAGGATCTCATTTATAGCAGGCTGGCTTTGAGTGAACTACCTATCTTGAATTTCTGGACCTTCTGCTTCTGCCTCCCTGTGTTGGGAATATTGGCATTGCCAGCACAGTTATGGCATTTCTGAGCCACACCACAGTTATGCCTTAATAAGAAAGAGCATGACTCTTAGTATTTATAAGGCCAAGAGCAGACCCAAACTGCCAATCATGTTCAGACGTCTACTCTTACAAATGTCTGTCAGAACTGTGCTTCTAAGTCAAGGCTTCACTCAGTCTTTTATTGAATAGTATTTCCAACATGAAATGGGGAAGTAGATGCCAGAATCTACCCTTATCTTATCAGAAAATCTTGAGCCCTAGACCTAGAATATCACACACAACTACAAACAGATTTCTTTCATTGTTTGCAATGAGAAAAGCATGCTGCTTTAAGCACTTCAACATGTAAAGCACTCATTCATTACCTTCATACACTATCTTGGGTGGAGGACAAGGAGGGATCCTGAGAAATTGAAGTCATATGCCCAGATCACAAGAGGAGCAACTGATTCAGTGATCTTGTTTACATTATAAACAATAACTAGTTGGTTGTAAGGTTAATAAAAGTCTTTAGTCCAGATTATGTTTATATTGTAAATATCATTCCTACACTCAGTTATATGGAGTACTGGAAGTCGAACCCAATATTTCAGGCATGCTAGACAAGTACTTAACCAACTGTGTTATGTGCTCAGCATTCTCTATAAGATTTTGATTCCATGGATAAAAATTCACAATGAATGTAAGACTATTCTAGTTCCAAGATTGTTCATCATTAAAAAATTGACTTTGAACATTTTTTAAAAGAAGACAGTCTAGAGGGAGCCAAGGAGATGGCTCAGTGGGTAAAGGTGCTTACTACCAAGCCTGACAACCTGAATTCAGTCTTGGAACTCACATTGTAGAAAGAGAAAAACAACTCCTGAAAGTTGTCCTCAGACTTCCACACATATGCTGTGTCACATAACGCACCCCACATAGGCACACATACATAAAATATATTTTTTAAAATTTAAAAAAAGACAAAGAGAGAGGAAAGGTTATGAAATAATTAAAATCAATAGAATCACTTGGTAGAAATTAGAAATTAGAGCACTTAAGCCTTTCATACTTTTCTTAACATGATAATAAACTATACTTTTTAAAAAGTCTTCTTAAACACAAAATCATGAAAAGCAACACATGAAGTAAGTGGCTTTGTTTTCAGATGATTTTTAAGAATTGGTTGTTTTACTGGGTTATAGGCCCTGGGTGGGGGGCTTACTACTGCTGTTGAGCTAAATTAGCATGGTATCAAACTGCCTTCTCAACGTTTATGTTTATACCATGGACAAATGCTACTCTCAGTCTCTCAGAGAAGCTTCTCTTTGCAGAGAAAAGCAGTGAGTGCAGAGACTCATGGCTCCTTGAGGCTCTAAGAATAAGGCACAGTGGAATGCTTAGCCCTAAACTGCATGTTTATATCACCCTGTCAAGGGACATTGAGGAAGAGGGGTCAGAAAGAATCTAAGAGCTGGATGATTTGGAGAAGGGTTGAAAAATGCCATCTTCTAGGCATGATACATCCTATATAATCATGAACTTTACCAGATGGAGTTGTCTGCACCAAGCCATATAAGACCCAGTCTCTCAGCAGTCAGTCATGTATGGTGATGTGGTGGTGGGGGTGCCTCATGAGGTGTTACTCCTCCCTGTTGAACTAATGGCTACTGATGGATTATGGGGAAGGGAGCCATTGTCTTACATTCTGTACCCACCTACCAGGTTCCATCAGATAGTTCAAAGCCCATTGTCACATAGATTTCTGTGGTTAAACTCAATGGGTTACAAAACAAAATGGAAAGACATAAACATAGGAAAAAGACTTATTGGGGAGGGTTGATGAGGTGGGGAAGGAGATAAAGGCGATTTAATCAGAATATCTGTTGTACTGAATGGAATTGTCAAATAACAATTAAATTAACAAAAAATCTCTAATCATAAAGTCATCTTTTATAAGATGAAAAGATGAATATGAATGCATGTATGAAACGGAATGTAAAAATATATATCTGAGTAAGATTAAAATAGAGGCTTCAAAGTGTAGAAGCTGTTCCCACTTAATGGCAAATAATATGTAAATAGTTTTACTAGAAAGGAATGATTTAAAAGCCTAAAATATTTATTCAACAGTGCCATTTTTCAGAAGCATTTCTGTTGCTTCACTGGTCATTTTAAAGAGCATACCTGGCTGTTTTGTTGACTGAGGGTTTCCCTGATCACCAGAAGCAAGAATTGGTTCCATTTGCCACACTTATGAGGATCTAGTATAAATCTAAATACCTTTAAGGTACAACCACATGACTAGATATCCTCCTTTGCCCTTTGCTCATTTTGATTCTCCCACCTCATGGCAATCCAACTGGTGATCCTTACCTATGGTCATACATAGTCTAAATCACAAAGCAAAAAATGAGACTTATGGTAAATAGAAAATCTATTTTCACCAAGAACTTCAGAATTTGAGTTCATCTGGAAATTGGATATTTTCACATGAACTAAGGTGGGGGTCAAGACTTGGTCATACTGAATTAACCCTAAACCCAATGCTTATAAAATATAGAAAAGAGCCAGGTGTGGTGACGCACATCTTTACACAGTGCTTGGGAGGTAGAAGTAGGTGGATCTCTGTGAGCTCAAGGCCAGTCTGTTCTACATAGTGAGTTGCAGGCCAATTGGGGCTACAGGGAGACCCTGTCTCAAAAAGATCCCCCTCAGAAAAACAAAAGAATTCTACAGAGAAATACAGAGTGAATAAGGCTATATTGGGTTGAATTCTCCAGAGAAATAGAATGAACACCATATAAATGTATATTGCACATAATTTATAAGAATGTATATATGAGATTTTTTATTTTTGTTTACTTTTAATTGAATTTTTAGGATGCATTGACTCTGTGCTTATGGAGGCTGAGAATTCCTTTGATCTGTCACCACATGCTAATGGCCCAGAAAAGACAGTGCTATAGTTCTAGTACAAACTCAAGTTTTGAGAATCAGGGACTCCGGTTGTACAAACCCAGCCTGAGTCTGGAGCTTTGAACTGGCTATGCTTAAGGGCAGGAGACAAATATGTCAGGTCAAGCAGAAAACCAATCTGCACTTCTCTCCCCTTTCTCTCTCTTCTCTCCTCTCCTTCCCCCTCCCTTGCCCTCTCTTCTTCCTCTTTGAGACAGGGTTTCCCTGTAGCCCCATCTGTCCTGAACTTCACTATGTAGATCATGCTGGCCTCCATCTTATAGAGCTCTGCCTGGGTGTGCTCCCAAGTTCTGGGATTAAAGGCCTGCACCATCACATCTGAATCACCATTTCTTTCATTAGAGCCTTCAACAGACTGAATGATACTCATCCCATTGGCAAGGGTGGTGCTACTTGTTCAACCTATTGATTCAAAGGTTAATAATTTCTTCTCTAAACACCTTCAAAGATACATGCAGACCTAATGTTTTACCTGCTATGAAGGCATCATTTAACTAGATCAGGTATACATACAAAAAGAACTGTGAAGATAGAATCAGAAATTGAAGTTATGTGCCCATGTCAGGAAATACCTGATGCTACAGAAACTGAAAGAGGCAAGAATTCTCTAGAGTCTTCAGTCAGCATGGCCATGGCAATTCCTTAATTTTGGACTGTAGGTATCCAGAATGATCAGAGAATGAATTTCTCTTACTTTTAGGCTACCAGTTCATGGTAATTTGTTATGGCAGCCTAAGAAATTGAAACAAGTATCATACTTCAAAATCTTAACATACACATATATTCATCATTCATAAATACAAAAACAAGGTACCAACCATTTTGTCTAAAAAATGAAATTGAAAGCCAAAATTCTACGATATATGAACATTTGGACTCTGAACTGAACCAAGTATTTGTACTAAGACATAATTTTAAACGTTAGTGACATAATACCAAAATACTAACAGCAGATCATCTTCATCAGGAAAGTTTAATTTTTATCTAAGAAATTTAAGCAATGTTTTAGGATTGGATTCAGAAAAAGATATCATGGAATTATAGAATTCTATCATTTTTAAAGCCACAAAAATTAATTAGATGCTAACCTAATATCAATTTTAAAAGAACTATTCCATATTGAAAAATAGTTGCAATGGTTGCATCTGTATTTTAATTTTGGTGGTCTTTTTTCTGAGACAGGTCACAAATATGTAGCCCAGGCTGACCTGAAACTCACCACCCTCCTGTCTCAGTCTTCTCATGTGCTAGGATTATAAGCTTGTACCAGCAGGTCAGTCTTGATGACGGCCTTTGAAAAGCTATAGATGCTTATATGAAAAAGAATGTTGTGACTTGGGGAACTGGGGATGTCACTCAGTAGAGTGCTTACCAACCATGAAAAAAGGCCCTGGGTTGATCCTCCCTCAGTGTAGCATAAAATTCATGCTTATAGTACTTGCTTCAGCAGCACATATACAAAAACTAGAATGGTACAGAGAAGATTAGCACAGCCCCTGCGCAAGGATGACATGCAAATTAGTGAAGCATTCCGTATTTTTGACTTTATATCCATGCTCAGGTGCCAAGGATCTCAAAAAGTAACCTACTGTGACTAGTAATGATTAGCTATATAGAGATTAGAGATGCGTGTGCAAACATCTAAGTATTAGTTGCAGTAAAAATGAGTTTTTCTGTATGAAACAGTATATTTTTAAAAGAAATGGAGATGTTTTTCAAAGGTTAAACCTTCATTCAATTTTATGTCTTACCAGTTTATGCTGAGTGCAATAATGTATAACTGTATTAATTCAACATTATGAACCTAAAAATTTACAGCCAATTTTGAAAGAGATGCATCTTTGCTCTGGAAACTGTTATTGACTATGTCAATGCTGTTGTAATGAAATGCTTCTACTAATTATGTGATTACTAAATAATTTTTTAATTCATGCTTATAATCCCAGCACTTGAGAGGTAGAGGCAGGGCAAGTAGAGTTCAAAGTCATCCTCAGCTGCATAGCAAGTGTGTAGTCAGTCTGGACTATATGAGATGTCTCAAAATGTCAAAAAAGAAAAATAAAGTGATTTTTACTTCTACAGTCAATACTTGTTGCTATCACTGACTTACTATGAGGCCCTTATATAACATGCTATCTTTATTCCACATGGTCTGGACTTAACACCCCAGATGACCACTGTGGTATCCTAACTCTCTCTTGGGGGAACCTAGGAAAGGAAACTGGGCCGGTCTAGGTGGGGTCTACAGTTCACTTAGACGTCTCGTGGAGTCTGGGCGCTGGGAAAAGAGGGAGAGCTCAAGAGTCCTGGAAGGCTTCTAGACTGGACCTTGGGCCAGAAGCTCCCTATCAGATGGTGGAAATCAGAAGGCAAAGAAGTTGAAATGGGCTTCTCAGAAATCAGCAAAGGGTCCTTATGGAGCGGCACTGGACAAAAGGAAGGGCTCGTGGAAGGGAGAACAAGTTGTCAGTGGCTAGCTTGGCATCAAGGGGTCACCTCAGCACTCAATGGTAATTGGCAGAGTCCATGAGAGGATGAATGAGACCAAAGCCTCAGCAGTTTGGCAGAAAGAATGTAATGGTAATAAAGTAACTATTTAGATCACCAAAAAGTGAAAGGACTGATGGAAGTAATTATAGCTTGACACCCAATTTACTTCTAATCCTGTGATTCAGACCACAAGATTTTTTCATCCAAAATAATCCTAGATTTCACTGAAATCACCCCACAACATAGATACTTCATAATGCTTAGTTTTTAGAGGAGAGATTTATTTTTGCTGTTGCTGAACATCTTCAAATCTATATAATCTTACCACTAACCCAAAGCAAAGACAGATGACGATCACAGCAATGGCAGCTATCAAATATCCAGCATTAATAAATGTTGACCACATGTCAAGCACTGGGCTCAATCATTTCACAAAATCATCTCAGTTAATAACACAGGACCATCCTTGCAATCACCACATTAAGGAGGAAGATTCAAATACCTCATTAAAGACTTACTCAAGTTCAAGTTCAACTAATTAGATGTACAAGCAGAATCTGGATATTATCTCTTGCTACTTTGTTCAGGAATGTTATCCTGAGACAGAGTAATTTAAGAGAAAAATATTAAAAAGACAAAAAAAATCATGATTTTTTATTAAGGACTTTGGTGTTTTCTAATGTGATAGGATATAAGGTTTACCTTTGCCACCCAACATTTAGTTCATCTTTTTGTTCAAACTGATTTGAGAAGAATTAGACTTTTCCTATGCAAATTGTTTTGTCATGTTCACCCTTGCAATTAAGTTAAAAGAAAAATGAACTTATTTATTCATATGAAAGGAGAAAGTTTAGTATCCGTCTAACATTTTAGCTTAAAATAATGCTGGCTTTATCTAAATGATGTTAGAGTGACCAGTTAAAGAGATTCCAGTACAGTCAATCAACTAACTGTGTTTTGTCTATGAAATAATCCCTCAACACTCATTGGTGCAGTTTACTTCTGAATTGATCTAATCCATGTCTACTTCTGTGGAAGAGCTATGTGGTGCTCTTGAATGCACTGGATAGAGAATTCCTAAATTCTTCCACTGATGGTTCCTTAAAATTGATTTAAAGCTTTTAATTAAGGAATGGACCTCCTTTCTCTTTGCAAATTTTAGGAATGAGAGTCCAATGACCCTCCTCATCACAGACCATGAATCTGTACATACAACTCTTCATCATAATGATTTCTCACAAAAGAAAACCAAAGCATGCACAGCCTATTGCCTTTGGGTCATCAATAGTATAAAAGCTATCACAGAAACTCTCAAAGACAGAAAAATCCTAATCTTATCTTGATACTGAGTTGAAGTTAGAAACAATAAGAATAATAATTTTGCAATTATAATTTCTAATGGTAAATCCTATGGACTGAATAGTGGGCTCCCCAAAATTCATTTGTTGAAGCCTTGCCTCCTAATGTAACTCTATTTGGAAACAGGGATTTCAGAAAGTAATTAAGTTTAACTGAGGTCATGGGGGGATTCCCTCATCTGATAAGCCTAGTGGTCTTATAATAAGAGAGAAAGATCTTTCTGAGTCTTATTCTCTGTGTGTCTCTGTGTGCACATTCAGAAGAAAGACTATGAGAGGACATGGCGAGAAAGTGACCATCTACAGCCATGTATGCCACTTCCCAAAGCATTATAGAACAGAAAAAGAGTGTGTTATGATCTAAAATGTCCATTCATCAGCTTTTTCATTCGATAGCTCTGTATTAAGCATGTGTTATAGATCAGCCCTGCCTACTTTAGGTTCTGAGCATACAAATAACACCATATATCAAGTTCTTGCATTCATGAAGTAATTATTTAGTTGGGAGACAGGGGAGTTGGAGATGGAGACAGAATCAACAAAGCAAACCAATTTTTTAATGGTTTCATGATACATTACTAAGTTAAAGTAAGGACTCAACAGTCAAATTGACTGTTTAAAACCAGACTCTGTCATTTGTTTACTGTAGTAACTGGCTAGAAGGGTAAACACATCCATACACTGACCCTGGCCTCCTGGTATTCCTCCTGCCCTACTGGCCCTACCCCTTGACTCATTTTCATCCAATAGAATAAGGCAGAAGAGATGTGTGACTTCCAAGGCTAAAACGCTTTCTAGACTCCACTTGGGTCTTACGGAAAACTCACTGTGAATCAAGCTGTCCAATGACTAAGACCTTCAGCCACCTGGCACTGCCTGGCTGAGGAAGCCCTGTGGGAGGCTGCATGGAGGGAGAAGCAAGCCTGACCCTGGTTATTCTGTCCTCCTAACTGAGGCTTTCAAAAATGCATGAAGAAGTTACTTTGGCATTCAACAGCAGCTTAGTATAGCCTTCAGTTTTCTTCAGTCCCCATGGTTCTGCTGCCATGCTGTGACAGACCCTAAATGAGTACCAAGAGAAATAAGAACAACTTCCATCACTGATTCAGGTTATACCCCAGTAGCAGTGACTGGAATTCCAGCTTAGTGAATTACACATTTCAAAACTTCTCTGTGCCTCATTGCACTCACCTATATTTTATAAGGTTGTAATGAGAAATGATGAGTGACTTTAGAAAGTATGGCAACAGTGCCTGGGTTATGTGGTAGCAACTTAGTAAATATAAGCTACTATCTTTTATTATTTATAATTAAAAGAGGATGATGGGTGGGCTACCAAGATTTTTCAGTGGGTAAATGGCCAGAACACACATCAAAGCAGAAGTAGAGAACCAACTGCAAAAAGTTGTCCTTTGACCTCCACAAGTGTCCCATGACCCTGGCATGACATACGTGCACACATACACACAACAGTAATGAAGAATTAGAAAAAAAGAAAAGTAAGATGATGGAGATGGGTATGTATTGTAGCTCATGTCTTTAATTCTAGCACTTGGGAGCCTGAAGCAGATGGATTGTAGTGAGTTTGATGCCAGTCTGGGCTACATAATAATTACAGTCTTGTCTGGGCTACACAGCTGAGACCCTGTCTCAAAAAAATAATTGGGATCTGGAGAGATGGCTCAGCAATTAAGAGTACTGGACAAGCTTACAGAGGACCCAAGTTCTGTTTTCAGCACTCACATGGTATCTAACAACCATGTGTAACTCCAGTTCCAGAGGATCTGATGCACTCTTCTGGCCTCCACAGGCACTGCATGACAAGGGTACATTTATAAATATGAAGGCAAAACACTCATATACATAAAATAATAATAATAATAATAATAATGATAATAATAATTGGATGATGGGACAAAAATGTTACTAATTGACACTCAGGAAAGTTCTTACATAGAAGATGGCACTTGAGTTTAGTCCTAAAATAATAAAGACTTAGCCAAGTAAAAGCATTCAAATAGGAAGGACTCAGGGACAAAGGTCACTAGGTAGGCACAGGTACAGTGTGCTTGAGGGGCACAGCCATGGCCAGGCTGGTTGGAGCATAGTAAGAAAAGTAGAGTCACAGCAGCAACAAAAATTTTTAAATAAATAAATTTGAAAAATTTTTTAGATTTCATATCAGACACAACAAGCAGCTTTGAATGATTTTAAGCAGGAGAATGACCTGAGTCTCTCTGCTGGAAATGGAATTTAGGAAAAAAATTGAATCAAAAAGACCTTCTAAGAAACGGTTGCAGGGGACTGGAGAGATGGCTCAGTGGTTAAGAGCACTGACTGTTCTTGCATATGACCCAGGGTTCAGTTCCTAACACCCACATGGCAGCACACAACCATCTATAGCTCCAGTTCCCAAGGATTTGATGCCCTCTTCTGGTTTGGTGCACATACATACAGGCAGAACATTCATACATAATAAAATAAAATAAATAAAATAAAATAAAAACATTTAAAAAGAAACTGTACTATCAATGCACTCCTGTAATCCTGGCACTCAAGAACTTGAGACAGGATGATTATGAGTTTGAGGTAGAGTCTTGGTCACATAAAGTGACCTTATGTCACTTTAAGTGAGTCTTGTGTCAGACAGACAGACAGAGATAGAGGTTATTGTAAGGGCTGAGGATATAGCT